GGTGATCGCGCGGACGAAGAGCGCCGTTGCCAGCATTGCCAGGATTCGACCGAGGCCTTTCAAATCAACGCCCCCCATTGTTTTATTTTTTATTTTTTATTATTATTTTGGCCTTTTTCTTTTCTTTTTCGTTCTATCTTTCTCTCAGTGCAGGAGAGTTTGTGGCTGATTCGGTTTCGGTTCTTCTTGGTGTAAGAGATAACGTTGGATGTTTTGGGCCTGGGCTTGTATTTCTGAGGCCCAAAATGTTGCATGAGCTACTGGCGATGGAAATATTTTGGGCAAGTTAAATTAGCCAAAAGTTGGAACACAAAAACAGGAGGTCAATTATAGGGATTGAGATCCTCTACTCATGCATAGTGATTCCTAATGTTTGCTAATGCATCTTTACCCTTCATTGTGTGGATGAGTACAAAGTGGAAGGTGGGGTCCACACAATGAAGGGTGGAGATGCACTAGCAAACACTAGGAATCACTATGCATGAGTAGAGGATCCCAATTTCAATTATAGAAAGAGTGGTGTTAGGGGCACACCACTCATCACAACCCTAACCACACTCTCCCATCTTATTGCTACAGTAAACCAGGTCCCACATGGGATTTTAAATTTTTTTTAAAATCTCATGTGGGGTCCGGTTTACTGTAGCAATAAGATGGGGGAGTGTGGTTGGGGTTGTGGTGGGTGGTGTGCCTCTAACATTATTTTTATAGAAAACCCCCCTTGACTTTTGGGGACTTGAAGTAAACTCACATCAACTTTTTATTACGTTAAACCCCTTGATCTTTAGGAGATGTTGCATATAATCCCTATGAACTGTTTTATTCCACTAAATCTCACATGAAATTCCTCATTTAATTTTCAAATTAGCGCTATCGATTCTAACATCTCATGTGGCAAGTATGCGCCGCAAAGAATGACTTTTTTTTATTTTTAATAACCGAATATTTTTAGGGCCAATAAAGAAATTTTCACCTTCTTTTTTCATCATGTGCTTACTAGTAACATGTTAGAGTTAATGTGAAAATTAAAAGATAAAATTTTAGGTAATATTTAGTGAAATAAAATGATTCATTGAGTTATGCGCAATAACTTCTAAATTTTAGAGGGGTTTAGTCTAATAAAAATGTTGGTGGAGGTTTACTGCAACCCTCCAAAAAAGCTTATGGTTTTTTTGATAATTAACTGATAAATATATTTAATTAGGTTTCCTCTTTTTATTCAACTTTTTCTTTTATTATTGAATCCAAAGGTTAAGTGTCTTTATTAAATAAGTGATGAACCTCCTCCCAATTCCAAACTTGTGTTGAACATCCATCACCAAACGGCATAAAATACTGTCACTAATAAATAAATGAATAAATAATCCCTAAAATCACCCTCAGATGGGGACAAATTTTATATAAATTATATTGGCAATTTACAGGGAGATCACTCATCAGTTATTAGTCCCTTTCACATCCCATCACTGAAAGATCCAAGTCCCCCTTTTTTTGGCTTGGAAATAGAAAAATGCCCCAGGGATCCCAAATAGAGGACCCTGGGGTGGGACCGTGGGACAGGTGAGGTGTCAGCCTGGGAGGCTCTGATGCACTGTTTATAAACAGTGCATCAGAGCCTCCCAGGCTGACACCTCACCTGTCCCACTACAGGGTCCTCTATTTGGGATCCCTGTAGCAGGACTCTTGAAAATATATTCGGAGGATCCGTTTTATTTTGGAATTTTAAATAATATGATCTATTTTTCTGAATTTAAATTATCGCTTTGGTTCAATTTTTTTTTTCATTGGATCACTTAACTTATCAGCCAATAGGGTCCATTGACGAGTTTGCACTCGTTTAAATGGTTATTCTTTGTTCTTTTTAACGATGAATTATATTTAGGTTTCCAGTGTTTAACGTAGCTATATTGATCGCAGAGATGAGTTCAAGATTTATGAAAAGTGATGTCCCAAAGTAATTAATAAAAATGTATAACTATTCTAAATTTTTTGTGAGACCCGGAGGGTTATGATTTTGTACTCTAGTATGCTATGTAGTTTGAGAGCTTTTTCATAGACCATAGCCTGGAGTCACCGAATGATTTTTTTAAAAATCCCCTTTGACATTTGTGGCCACTAGAATTTTAATCTAGATTGATTTGATAAATCGTCAAAAAGATCTTGCCACTACATCAAGACTTCTAAAAGTTTGATGGAAGTTAAGGATTATAAGTTTACACTCAACATAAGTCATTAATCAATCATTTTTTCTTAAATAAAATTCCTCTCATTTTTTTCTCCTCTCTTTACTTAGTCTTGATGCTGCAAGCTCAATCTCATCACACATGCATTGTTTATCCTAATCTTCTCGGAAATAATTTCAATTTATCTACAATGTTGAATCTAGTATACTATAGTGTAATAGCCTTGCAGTAGTTATTGAAGCAATAACTTTTTTTCCACCATGAATTTAGAAGCCACGTAGTATCTGGTTAAATGTTTATTAGCTGAACAATATGAAATTGTTGATATGGTTTTATATATATTTGCTTTGGGGATTTATAACAAAGTAAACACTAATTTATTTAACATGGGCTTGTTTTTATTCGATTAGTCACAATGGGGCAATAAACTCGTATGTTATTTGTTGTATATTAAATATAAAATATTAAACACGTGGATTTGCATCAAAATCAATTACCTAACGGTAGAAAAATATTAATTTTGTCTTAAAAGATAAATAAATTTTTAATGCCCTATGGCAACAAAATTTCTATATCAGATGAGTAGTAATTATGGTCCGGGCCAAAGTCTCATATGTTAGAATTTGTACCGGCATCATTCATCAATTCAGCACCTTTCAGAAGAAAATATCTAAATACATTTTTTTGGGTTTCGAAAGATATAAATGAGGATCCATTAAAATCATAATAAATATAAGAGTAAATAGCATTTATATACCCTAGATTTAAATACCCTAGAGTTTCATCTACTTTTCACTTATATAACCTTATTTTTATTTCGTAGCAAGAAAATACCCTAAAATTTTTTAAAACTTGCACTTGTATATCCTCATTTATTTTTTATAGCATTTATATACCCTAAAATTATTAAGGCTCGCAAAACTTGAAGGTATTTAAGTTCTAGTTTTAAAAACCTTAGGGTGTTCAAGTGTCATATTTAAAAACTTTAGAGTATTTAAGTGCCGTTAGAGAAAGTGAAGGCTTACAAATGCAAATTTAAAAATTTTAGTGTATGTTTTTGCTAGCAAATACAAGTTGGGGTCTGTAAATAAGAAGTAGTTGAAACAATAAGGTATATAAGTCCTATTTTGTATGAATATAGTCTATATTTCATATTATGTGTGCACACTCCAACCACTAAAAAGTAGGGGTGCACTCGGTCCTGATATTGGTCGGGTATGATGCTTACCATATCTATATCCGCTTACCCATCTCGGATACGGATACATATATACCTCGGTAAGAAAATTTCATAATCATATCCGCTAAAATCGGATATGGTTACGGATATATGAGCAGATATGCATGCGGATACAAAACGGATATGATAAAACTAGATAGTATGAGAAAAATAAAGTTCATGTGATACAAAAGAGTTCGTTAATATGTTCATTATAATTGAAAAGTTAAGATTAGACATATTGATCATCAAATTTAATCACAAATCCATAAACTACGAATTGAAACTATCGTAAGAGTATGACTAATATGTATTCGGATATTTCGGATACGGATACGGATATTTCACTACAAAATCATATCCGTAACCATATCCTATCGGTTATAGATTTGAGTAACCATATCCGTATCCTAACGGATACAGTTACAGATATTTCCTCGGATACATATTAGGTTTAGCACCCCTACTAAAAAGGCAAAAAGAAAAAGGTAAGAGCCGCTGCTCTCATTGAGCTTATGGAGAAGATTTCTAGAGGCAAAATTTTAACACCAGGCTGACCAAAATCCAAGTCTATTATTGTCCCAAGTTCTGCCCCACCCATAATCTAAAAAGTACTTGAAAAGTGGCCCACAACAAATATAATATTTTAACAAGTCATTCAAATCCTGTAAATTATCTCAAATAAGTAGTTCATGTTATAATCTGTTACCTTCTCCAGCTTTAACTTGTTTTGTTTGTTATGAGTCCTCGTCTCTGTTACTGGTTAAGTAATCATAACAGTAGAAGAAAGGATAAATTGCATCTAACCCCTCTCATCTAGAAATCTGATAACACTTAACAGGCTTCAACTCGTTTATTAGCGGTTAACCCCTACCTGTTCACAAGGAAGAGGGGTGTCATCTGAAATTTATACTTTTAGAAATAAACTTTAGTAAACTAACTAAATATTAGTAAGTAGGGGTGCATTCGGTCCGGATACGGCTCGGAGATGATGCTTATCATATCCATATCCGTTTACTCATCTCGAATACGGATACGAATACGTATACAAATATATCTCGGTAAGAAAAATTTATAATCATATCCGCTAAAATCGGATACAGTTACGGATATACATGCAGATATATAAGCGGATATGCATATGTATACAAAATAGATATGAGAAAAGTGGATAGTATCGAGAAAAATATAGTTCATGTGATACAAAAAAGTTCGTTAATATCTTCATTATAACTGAAAAGTTAAGATTAGACATCTTGATCATTAAAATTAACCACAAATTCATAATCTAATAATAGAAACTATCGGTAAGAGCATGAGCATGACTAATATGTATTCGGATATTTCGGATACGGATACAAATATTTCATTACAAAACCATATTTATAACCATATTTTATCGGTTATAGAATTAAGTAACCATATCCGTATCCTAACAGATACAGTTACAGATATTTCTTTGGATACGGATACAGTTTAACACCCCCAGTAGTAAGCGGTCAAGGGCTGTTCAAGCTAACTAGAAGCAGGGGGTTATGTGCAATTCACTCGAAAATAAAATATAAAATAAGATAACAGGTACCAATATGCAAAAAAACTTCCCGCAACTGCACGCAAATCCTCCTTTATTCATTTTCCTCCCTACTCAATAATACTCTCTTGCACGCACACACACTCTCGTCTTCCTCGTTCTCTCCAACTCCCATAAAAACGATTCAAATCTCAGATCAAGACCTCGCAGCTCAAAAAACCACGACAGATCCAAACCCTAACCTTAGGTACGATCCAAGATCTCCCCTTCAATGTCTCATCCTCCATCATCGGAACCCTAACTTCAGCTCCGATCCAAGATCCGCCTCCAATGTCGCCGCCAACATCCAGTCTAGGATCCAAATCCTAACCCTAGCTCCTCCTCCGATGGCGGCATCACCCTCAGCGGAGCGGCGCTTCCTCTACCCAGTCATCTCCATCTCCTTCATCTCCCTCCTCCTCTTCCTCTCCGCCATCTCCGGCCTCACCGCCTCCTCCTACTTCCTCTTCTCCCGCCTCCCGCCGCTTCGTGATCCCTCCTACGGCGAGGCCCGCCGCCTCCCCTCCTTCGCTACCTCATCACGGCTCTCGTTGCGATGCCCAGCGAGTCCTCGCTCCCCTCGCAGTCTACCACCAGAAATCGGTACCTTCTTCATTTGTCGCATGAGGCTTCGGATAAAGAGAGGAGCTCGCTAGCTGTGTCGGTGGAGGTGGCGTTGCCGGCGGCGAGCGTGTTGGGAATGTGGATGTTGTGGAAGGCCGGATGCGATTGACGAGATGCGTACTTCGGGCGGCGGCGGCGTTGATGAGGATTGATGGGGAGTGGGATTGGTTGGTGATGCTGAATGCGGGGGATTATCCGGTGGTTTCGCAAGATGGTATGGTTCTTGGGTTTTAGTTTATTTTGCATGAATTTAACTTGTATAAGCTGCGGTAAACTTGCACAGTGCAAAAATAAGCTTTTTTTGGGATTAAATTCTAGAGGAATGCTGAAAGTTGATTCCTTTATATTAATTTGCTCCGATAACTGTTCAGTTCATGAGATGTCAGCTAGGATGGGGGATACATTTTTTTTTTCTGGAGAAAAGAAAAAGAAAAAGACGAAACACTAATAACCTATGTTCTTGGTATACAGGGACATTGCAAATGAGTTAACTTACAAGAATTAAGATTCTATGCTATTTCTTGATTTGTGTAGGGGGTATTTGGTTTCAGTGGCAGTTGATGAGTGGGTGATTACTTTGGGTTTTCTAGTGTTGGTAACTGGGAAGTGGTTGGGTCTATTGTTTTTCTAGTTTGGGTCTTCTGGCTTGGTATTGTGTTAGGTAGGAATAATATTTTGGTTGGATTTTGCTTGAATATACACTATATAGTTTTTTGGGATTGAACATACTGAAAAGTTGATTCCTTTTGGTTGTATTAGGTGATTTGAGTAATTTGTTTGTCTGATTTTGATAAAGGAAACACACTGATTGAAAGTTTATATCTTGTAGATGGGGAACATACTGAATTAAATTACAAGAAGTGGGGTTTTATGCTATTCCTTGATTTCTTTAGTGGGTATTTGGTTTCAGTGGTAAGTGATGAGTGGATGGCAGTTTGGAGCTTTTTAAGAGTAGGAACTTGGGAGTGGTTGGTTTCAGTGGTAAGTGATGAGTGGATGGCAGTTTGGAGCTTTTTAAGAGTAGGAACTTGGGAGTGGTTAGGAAATTATATTGGTTTGCTATGAGCTTTGTGGAATGGTATCATGTTAGGTATGATTTGTTTACTTTCTTTGCCTAAATTTTGTTTTTATCCAGTAGTTGGCATAATGATATGTCGTCAGCTTAAATAGTGAAAAATGAATCATACTGAAATAACATGCATGAGATAGTTTTCTGGGATGGTTTCGTCAGCTTAAATAGTGAAAAATGAATCATACTGAAATAACATGCATGAGATAGTTTTCTGGGATGGTTATGGAACATACAAAAAGTTGGTTTCTTTCATACTGAAATAACATGCATGAGATAGTTTTCTGGGATGGTTATGGAACATACAAAAAGTTGGTTTCTTTATAGTTGTCTTGGATGATTTGAGATACTATTTTCCCCTGTTTTTAGCAAAGGAGAGTCACGAAATGAAAATATATATTCTTGGTAAACAGGGTCAATACAAGTGATGCTGAATTGATTTACGAGCAGTGGCATTTTATGCTACTTCTTGATTTGTGGGTGTTTTGTTATGGTGGCATTTGGTGAGTCTGTCATATTGTAAAAAGCCTCCGCCTAGGCCTAGCGGTACCTTGGCATCCTACCTAGCGCCTAGCACCTATGCAGTACCTAGGTTGCGCATCTAGGCTTTGGGAGCAATGGAGCACCGAGCATGGTTTGCCTACATGGACTGCATCCTTTAGGCGTTGATCGTGATTTCCTCCATTGCAGCCTCCAAGACCTCCTCTACCTCTCCCGACCTTTAGTAAAACCTCCTCTATGGCCACTTAAGAAATCCACCTAAGTGTCAGTCTAGTGCATAAGCTTCCTATAACATTGACATCCGTGACCAGTAATTGTAATAAAAAAAAACTAAAAATGGGAAAACGCCTAGGCCTTGCCTAGGCTCTAGGCGTCGGGTGCAACGCCTAGACCGCCTAGCACTTTTAGTAACCTTGATTGTCTAGATTGTAAAGTAGAGTCAGGAAATTATATTGGTATGGTCTGAATTTGTGGAATGACATCATGTTAGGTAAAATTCATTTACTTCTTAAGGCTAAATTTAGATTTATTTGTAAGTTATGCTTTTGTATGTTGTATTTATTTGATTGTCAAGGAATACTGGCAAAGATTGATTAAAAAAAGTTATTTAAGTAGCAGGAGGGGTGGGAAAGATTCTCCCTCTCTCCTCTCGTGGAAAATTGAGCAGTTTTAGGAGGCTTGGTCAGATTATTAGTTCTGTTAGGAGGGTTCACAACTTGGTTTTGTGAGTGTAGCTTGATCTGTTGGCTAAGTTGGGCCCATGGGGTTAGTTGAAATGTTGCCTGCTGCTAGCATGAGGGTTTTTGGCTGATAACTATATTTGATTTTTTGTGTGTGCTGCACTTTCTTATCCATGCAGGATGACACATGATCTTCATCAAAATGTTGCTCTTATTTTGTTCTTCCAATCTTGCATAACTTGCTCCTGATACATTTAATGGAGGCTTGTGGTCAAACTGGCTATTATGTGTTTGTTTCACCTGTCTGGTAAATGACTTCTATATCATGTTTGGTCAGGTATGCTATAGACAAACACTTTATCACATCCAAAAATCTGTTGCTGGCTTGTTGAAAGACAAGAAATTGGTTAGTGATATCTGTGATACTTGATGGTATAGTCTAGTAGTTGCTCGTGAGAGTGATAATTTCACTGCGAACCTTGAGCAAAGGGTTTCTGTCAGATAGGCACTTACACATGTCTAGTCAATGGACATTGCGGACTAAGAGGGATTGAAGTACTGGTTTTATTCTGCTGTAGTGCATCTAGACCATCATGAATGGCAAAAAATACTGGAAAAGGTGGCACACGTCGATTATGAGTGTTGTCCGATGTTTGATGTATGTAATAATCTGTACTTCAATATCTCCAAAATTGTAGACCTGTTTAGTCGATACGAGTCTAACACCAAACCTGCTCATTGGGGTGTTGTCAAGAGGGTTATGTTTTATTTGGGTGGGTGTGCATACTATGTTCTGTGCAATGAGTAGATAGATTTGCAACCCTTATGGATATAGTGATACCAATTGGATGAATGGCTTTGATGGTAGGGAGTTGTCATTTGTATGTCCTTTTGCTTTGAGGAGTGCTGTTTCTCACAACAAGAAGCAATCAATTTTTGTCCAAATTCAGACCAATGTATCGAGAGCAGTTGCAGTGAAATAAATATTATGGTTATGACAATTTCTTCGTAATCTGCAATTACTTGGAACTTGGCTACCTAAGACAATATTGTTTTGAAAAAAAAGGTTTGTAATTGCTAGACTTGCTGTGTAGTTGCTCATAACTTGCGTATTGTTTTTATGATCACACACCTCTATCCCTTCAATATAGACTGGGCTAGGCTTCGATCTAACCTAGTTGATCTACAACAAATCTTCCCTGCTGAGTAGGTTAGAGTTCTAGCGAGAAGCACTCTTGTGAGTTGCTTTATCTCATTTGATGAATGAGTTTGCTCCCAGTTATGACCTAGAGACGAGGTAGCCGAAAAATCTTCCCTAGTGAGTAGTGACTAGGGTTAGGGTTCTAGAGAGAAGCACTCTTGTGAGTTTCGTGATCTCATTTGATGAATGAGTTTGCTCCCGGTTATGACCTAGAGACGAGGTAGCCTGCAGGCTACAGTACAAATAACCTCTTGGTGATTCTCCAAACACACAGCAAGGAATAGAATCTCTAATCAGTTGTTCTTATTTGATAGTTTGAAAATGTTCTGCCTGGTGGGTAATTAGCAAAAACAAGTCTTGCAAAGTTTTTCCAGTGCCAAGCCTACGACAACTAGAAGAAATATTCCCCAGTCCTAACAAATGTGCAATTGCTATATGCTTTTGTGTTCTATACACTATGATTGCATATACGGTTTGATTACTAATTATAACAAGAATATGATAGGAATATACCATAGTGTAGATATTACTTTGCATCAGGAGATTTTGCAGCTAAGCGATCACTTATTCGCATCTCCTAGATTATCTGTTACCATCTTGTTTCTGGTTTCTGGAGAATCGAAGACAAACCTTTTTCATAATATAATTTAACAACGAGGTTAACGATCTACAGAGGTCATAAAGGCATGTTAAATCTATTGTGTTAATTTTTGTTAAATATTGATGTTTATCTTTTTCATAGTGCCTTTGAATAACAGACTTCACATGCACTCAATCTGAATTGACAAGTCCATTCTTCTGTTAGTTTTGCAAGTGGGAAACTGTGCAAGTTTCTGCTTTGGTCGCTTGGTGGAATTAGCAATAACAAGTTGCTCTATATTTGGCAAAGTCAGTGTTTCGGCTCAATTTTTGTTGATTTTAAGACATCTAGGATTGTTCCACATGTACTTGACAAATTATTTTTTGTTAAATATCGATGTTTATTTTGCGTAGGGCCCTTGAATATCAAAGGCTTCATACACACACAATCACAGTTAATATTCTGTTTCTGTTAGTTTGCATGTGGCAAACCGTGTAAGTTTCTGTTTGGTCGCGTGGTGGAATTATTACCAACAAATTGCTCTATGCTTCTCAAAGTCAGTGTTTCGGCTCCATTTTTGTTGATTTTGATACATTTCTAGGACTGTACCACATGTCTTTAGATTGACAAGGTTTGCAACAATTAGTTCTTGAGTGATTATCCATTGGAATTTGCAAACACATTTCTTAAACAGGTGAAAAGATATATGTTTCATCAAATAGGAGAAATGATTATGCAATGTTTCTAGTTCAAAGTTGTTAAAAGTTTTTATCTTATTGTTTAATGTATGTTCGAGTTGATTGAGGTATTTGCCAATGTTTTTGCAAAATCTCTACTTTATTTTTTGTGCTTGAATCCAAATGATTTTCCGTGCATAAATTTGTAGCTTGTGGAGTTTCCATTCAAGATTTTGGAGTTTTCTCGAGCTTTTGCCAGTAGCTGCATCACACAATTATTATGGCTGTTGTTCTTGATATTGTCTTAAGATATGTCATATGATTGTTTCTTGCTTTATATAATTAATTTTCCTTTATATTAAATTAATCTTCAATTCTATGTTAACTGTCTTTGCTGATAGTCATCGCCATCTATGCACTATCTCCATCAAAGTGAAATCAAAGGAAGCTTCTTTTTTGTTTACGCACAAACATGTTCACACAAAAACAGATGCAATCACATATGCAACACAAAGTATAAAGGTTTGATACCTATATTATTATTTTTTAGAAAGATAACTTCCAAAGACAGGAACATTTGCTTTTTATTTTCGTAGAAGGGTGTAAGCTACTGGATGCTTTACCATATCCATAAGCATTACAGGGTCTCTAGACGGACAAAAAAGGAAAGATCTAAATCAACCAAATTCTTTGTTTCTGAAAATAAGTCTTAGAAGCACAGGATCAGAGCAATTGCAGAGTTTATGCATATAGACCTCCATTGGCATTATTGTTTCTCTGAATAAAAAGATCAGCCATATGAATTCTACGGTTTCAGCTGATAAAGCCTGGGAAGTATTCACTCAGAGTAATTGCAGAGCCCTGTCTAAATTTTCTTTTTCATGATCACATATATTCTAAATTATTGGTGTACTTTAATAAAGGGGTAAATTATTCAAAATGATGATTTTTTATATGTAGTTCTACTGCTATTTGACATTCAAAAGCCTTTTTGGAGGACATAATTTTTTTTGTTATCTGCATGTATACATATTCCTTTTTAGATATGCTGGTGGCATTTTTCTTAGAATTTTTGCTAAAATGGTGATGCCGGTTTCTCTTTTCTTGCAGATTTGATTCATGTATTCTCTACTGTGCCTAGACATCTCAACTTCATAGATCATACCAGTGATCTTGGATGGAAAGAGTAAGCCCATTTGCCCCAATAGTTCTTGTTTTTGACCTCTCTAGCCTCTCCAGACTAAACTTCTCAGCTAAATTCTTGCAGAACCCAGAGAGTCCACCCAATCATAGTTGATGCGGGCATTTACTTGGCAAGAAGGTCCCATTACTTCACAGCAACAGAGAAAAGGAAGACTCCTGAGGCTTTCAAATTTTTCACAGGCATCTTTTCTTCTCTCACTTTGCCTTCTTGCTTAAAAACCATAGATTTCTACTAATTTGATGATTTACTACCTTCATTTCTATGTAACAGGCTCTCAATGGGTAATTCTGAGCAGACCCTTCTTGAATTACTGCATCATGGGTTGGGATAATTTGCCTCGCACTCTCCTCATGTACTTCACAAACGTACTTTTATCACAAGAAGGCTATTTCCACTCTGTGGCTTGCAACTCACCGGAGTTCCAAAACACTACAGTTAACAGTGATCTCCGTTATGTAGAATGGGATAATCCTCCTGGGATGGATCCTCACTTTCTTAACGTGTCCAGTTATAGGAAAATAGTAGAAAGTGGTGTGCCCTTTGCTCGGCAATTCCACAAAAATGATCAAGTACTTGATATGATTGACGGTGAAGTGCTCAGGAGGAGATATAACCGTGTGACACCCGGGGCTTGGTGCTCTGCCAAGGACCGGTGGTGGAGTGATCCGTGCTCTGAGTGGGGAAATGTCAACTCTGTGAAGCCCGGGCCTCAGGCTGAGAAATTTAGGGTTCTGATGGAGAGACTTGTGTCTGAGTGGAAGTCTCAATCAAGATCTTGCAAGTAGTGGCGTGTATCGCGCAGAAGTTCATTTTTTGGCCACTTCTGCCTTGAGCAGTATTCTTTTTTGCCTCTTCACCTCATTTGGATTGGGTGTAATAGAGATTGGAGGTGAGGCTGTGAAGCCAACATCTCATACGGAGGCTCCTCGGCTCCAGATGTTTCGATGTAGATTATGGATGTTAAATGAGTCACAACGGGCACTTGTTTTAGAAGACGCAGTGTCTTGGGAGCCAATATTTATATTTCTTTTGTTATTTGTAGGGAGACCATTTCTCATGGGCTAGGATGTTATTTTGTTCTGTAACATTTATCAAACACTAAAGTTTTTCGTTTATTAATTACCGCTTTTACAACAAAGAAACAGAGCCCGGAATAGTGACTGTATGCTAATCTCTGTAGAAGTTTTCAGGTAGATTTTCCTTAGTTTAGTACTAATGTTGTTTTTCTGTTGGTCTTGCGGATACTTGAGAATGTTTGTTGGAAAACCATGAGATGTACTGCAGTTCCTATAATGTTGGTTTTAGGGCCTGAAGTGTTTTATTTTGATCCAAGAAGTGGAGAAAAGTTCTAATAGAGCCTAGTTCATTTTGTTCTTGGAAGTGTAAATTTGTTTTTTTTTATTTTTCTTGTTTCATCGTGTATATTCTTTTCATGCATATATGACTGATATATTTTTGTAGAATGTTTGCTCAAATACCACAAGCTCTGATACTGTTTCTGTATTGTAAGCTTCATGAACTGATGATACTTGGTATTTTCGTCTGTCTGTAGATGCTTTTACAATGTGGCAGGGTTTTGATTCAAGAATTGGATACAGGTTTTCATGAGTTTAGTTTCTTTTATTCTTGGAGTCTAAGTCTGGTTTTTTTAATGTTTTTTTCATGTAAATTGTTTCATCATATCTTATTTAATGAAAGAGATGAAGTATACGGATGATAATTTTTTATTTGAGGAAAGTAAATAAATAAATTTGCAACATTCTTCTTGTGTCTGAATAGTTCTACAGTTTTCACATTCTATATATGTATATATATATTTAATATCAAATCTTTCTAACTTGTTTTCGTGAATCGTATTTGCTTTTTGTCCGCCTTGAAGCTTAAAGTTATAATTGTTGAAAATACCAAATACTTCATTCAAATGGAAATTAATCCAAATAGTCTATAAATATTATAATTGTGGGCATCAAGTGATTAATCAATCTCTATATGGATGATTAGGCCTGGAAATGAACTGAATACAAATAAAATATTGAGATATTTGTATTTGTATTCGTTTAAATTTTCCAGATTGAAATGCAAATTTGAATATCGTTCTCTGATGGTCTTGGAATTTGAATTCGAATATCAATATTTGCCGAATATTCACGAATACGTATCGAATATTAAAGTATATTTGTTTTATTAATAATTTATGTTTTATGTATATTAAACAATTTAATTAAGTAGATACTTTTATTTGATCAAAGCAGTATTTTCATTGTTCTAATAATTTGATAATTTAGATAACATTAAAATTCATAATTGAAAATTATTCCTTAATATCTATGATAGGTAAATCTATAATGTGGATATTTGGTTAAAAAAATGGATTCGGGGCTTGTTAAGTCTCTCAAAATTAGTATATAATTAATTAAGCAAATGTAGGTGGGTCAAGAATATAACATCACATGTGTAATTAATACCAGTTATAAGTAAAGATTTTTTTATTGAATTGTTTATTAAACAAACTAATCGAATATGGTTATGGTTAAATTCTATTCATTTATGAACCAAATACTGAAAACTATTCGTTTATTGTTAAATGAACTATCAAATCAAATATGACTGAATATTTAACAGAATAAATACCGAATATTTAAGAGAATAAATAAGTATTTGTTAAATATTTGATTCATTTCCACCCCTATAGATGATGTTCAAAATTGGATTTAAAAGACCAAATAGAGCCTAAACACACTCAATCCACCAAAAAGAGAGAGAGAGAGAGAGAGTTTAAACACATCGGTTTTTGGGATGACTAATCAGGATCCTTTAAGGCTTAAGAAAAAGCTAATTGATTTTGCGCAAGAGCTTTGCTACAATGACCCAAAATATGGGACCAATAGAGGGGACAAGTGAGGTGTCTCCCTCCTATTGGATAATGAGTTGGCCATCATTAATGATGGCCAACTCATTATCCAATAGGAGGGAGACACCTCACTTGTCCCCTCTATTGGTCCTATATTTTGGGTCCTTGAGGAATTTTTCTTTGCGCAATATTCATTAGTGTTGAGTATTTCTGAATTTTGATATTATCTAACAATTTCTAAAAATGCATACAACATATATATCATGATTACTTTTACTTATAACCCTAATTCAAGTATAATAACCTACTAGTGAGCACTCCCGTGCAAAGCACGAACCCATATTCTTTTAAGCACTGCATTTTAATCTTGCATACCTCTAAGTTTTAATACATTTAATTTAATTATTATATACTTAAAATTAGAAATCATATCTACACCTCTATACTTAAAGAAAGATCCAAGTTTTAATACATTTAATTAGAAACCATATCTACTTAACTATACTTAAAGAAAGATTTAAATTTTAATATATTTGATTTGTTTTACTGTTTATGCTACAATAAATTATTATAGTATAAATAGTAACATCAAGTATAAGGGATCATATTTAATTTACTGTTTATGCTACAATATTTACTATAGTATAAATAATAAATCTTTGAATTTTTCGTAGGTGTAGATGTCACTTGTTCATATTAAACCATTTGTGTTGGGTATATTATTTATTTAATGCAATGTAAGTGACCTAAAAACAATTTTTTTTTGCTGTAGTCCTCGTTATATGTAAAGAAATGATAGAGGCACACTCTAAGGCACACCACCAACCACACTCCTTCTCTCTCTACAATGCATGGTGGTCCACATGTGAATTTTTTAGTGTGAATTTTTTAGTGTAGGAGGGCCCACATGTAATTTTTTAAAAAAAATTCACATATGGGCCCTCCTGTAGAGAGAGGGGGAGTGTGATTAGTGGTGTGCCTTAGAACGTGCATGTAGCGCCTCTCTTATATGTAATGGTAACTTTTAGTTTTAATACGCCATTCGGAACAGTACAAGACTCGCACCGAAACTTTTTTCCCTCCACGGATCCACCACCCATATAAATTGCCCTCTCTCATTTCACAAACTCCTCGCCTTCTCCCTTTTATTTCCCCTTTTCGATCGCGAGGAGTTGATGAGATCTTGAGCTAGGATTTTTTGGAGCTCTCAAAATCCTTTACTGATTTGCTCAAAATTTCTGGTAATTTCTTGATCTCTCATTCTATCCTCCTATCTACTCGTCGACATCCAGCAGTTTATAGCAGTTATTTCTGATTTATCTCAGATTCACGTACGATTAGGGTTTTTGTGATCTCGAATACGTGGGAAATGTCGATTTAGGTCTTCTGAAGGGGTTTCAGGTTCGCGATTGATCATGATGATCTGTTATTCTTCCATTATATTCTAAGATCTCATTGTTCTTGAAGACGACGAGAAATGGGGATTTAGGGTTTTTTTTTGCCGTTTGCTTTCTGTTATCAAAGTTTGTTGATGTACTTGTAGGGTTCTTTATTGTTATTTTTGATTATATGTTTGCCCTTTGGGAGAAGAATTGAGAAGTAAGGGTTTACCTTTTCTTGAATTTTTTTTAATTTAATTTTTTGAGTTGTATCATATAATTTAATCCCTATTCTATTGCAGATACTTCTGTTACTATCTTTTACTTGGATGTTTTTCACTTGGTTTTGTTTATTTATTTTTATGGTTCACAGTAAAATATTGGTTTGTTGCGTTATCTGTTACTTGGGGGGAAAACCAAGTTAAATTTATCCTTTATCTATAAGCAATAACACTTAATTAAATACTTTTGAATGTATGAATCAACAGTAGCTAGGCGGCTTTTCTTTATCTTTATCAAATATTTGTTTGATGTCTTCTCAATGCTTGAGTTATTTAGGTTCTCACATTCTCCCATAGATTTTTTTTTTCTTCTAAAACTTTTATTGTATCTTCTAGATATTTTTCTTTTACTTTATTTTCGGCTTTCATTAGGGTTTAATAAGGTAGTATATTTTTTTCTTTAAATCTTTATGAACGGCAATATAGTCTATACATTTGGCATCATGTTCTTTTGCAAATATGAAATACTTCTTCTCATTAGGTCCCGGGCGTTTCTTCCGTTACTGCATCATATTAGCAAACATGTAGTTTTTGGAGTAAGTTATATTATTTACGAAAATTTTAGAGAATTTTTTATTTAATTGATTCATTCAATAACGACCTACAATATTTTAGGTCATTATTGCATCCAATTCTGCATCGGTATACACTCCGAAATTGACTTTTATGGTTTGTGTCAATTTGAAGCATTTCCTTTTTGTTCTTTCAGTGGGCACTTTGTCTCTTGTCTTATTAACATTACATTAGTTATCATTGATCTGCATGGAGGACATAGGTCTGATCTTGGATATTAGGATCACTAGTATCCTGAATTGTATTCTCATTCAGGATTACCGTTTCATTTGCAAGTTGTATTTTCAAAATAATAAAAATTGTGATTGTGACTATCTGCAATAAACTGTTGGCAAAAGTATGATTTGTGTGAAAAAATATATCAATTCTGGCACTTAAATTTAGGAGTAAATCTTAGAATTCTATTTATTTTACATTTTGGTTTTCCCCTTTACTTTGGTCATTTGTTTTTGTTAATATGCTTACTGGTCTGAAAGTCACCTCTTATGTGTAGTATATGTTGATGAAACTAAGGCTAACATTGAGTCTGGTTCTTTCAATAAATTTGTCTCTTGTTTGCCATTTTTAGACTAGCATGAATGTCTTCAAGTTGATTAAGTTCTGCTCCTTTTTATAGTTCTACAAAGGCAAGACGTGTTCCTTATGTGGTCATGTCAAAATTGAAAGTTATAATGGAATTCATAAAAACTTGTTCAGTTTCAAATTGACAATTATATTGGTCCATATTATAATGTTACAAGAACAAAAACATGCTACATTCAGTACTTCGATTGTCTTGTTCCTTGCTGTTTAAAGGAACTTTTTAGTTATTCTGGATGCAATTTTGGTTTGGATCAGTCCAAGATTCACAAAATTAGATGTTGAGTGTGCATGTTTGAAGGAAAGCTTTCGTAAGAATAAAACTCCAATGATTAGTTCTTACAAGTTTCTACATTTTGGAGGATGTTCCTAGTACCCTGAAGTTTTAATGACCATTATTGTGTGGCGTAACTAGGAAGCATACACGATGCAAGTTTTCTTTCACCAAGGAAACCTATCTTTTCAGATATTCTCTGTTTGTCCCACATTCGTTGAACTTTATATCCCTTAGTTGCCCAAAATGTTTAGTATTTATGATCATGAATGACTTTACCAATTCATTGACTAATGTTGTAGTTACATAAGGTTCATCAACTTTTGTTACCGATCCTATTGATGAGAAAAATGTGTAAATGATGATGGCTACGATATTGATAAATAGTGTCTTGTTTAGATTACTGAAAATCAGATCATCTATATGTTAATCTTTCATCTCATAGTTCTAAATGCTGCATTATATATCATGATGTTACAGGTACAAAACAAATTGCCTGTGTTGATTAATAGAGAATCGGACTATGTAAATAACTTTGGCCCTATAGCCTTACAAAAATGATGATTGCATATAATGAACTGTAGGTAAAAGATCAACCTCCAAACAGAGTTTGCAATTGACTGTTCATACGTTCTATCATCTAGACTGAAATATTTCATTGCGGAATATTTTCATAAATCAACTTAATATTCCAGCACTGATGCATAAATCTCCAGGTAGAGTATGAATTCTCTTGTTGGTTGATGCTAAACTCAATATTTTATCATATTTGCTATGATCTCAAACAAGAACCTCTAATTTCTTCCTCTAAGCCCCTTTTTAAATATTTCATATGTTCATCATTGAGACTGAAATATTTCATTGCGGAATAGTTTCATAAATCAACTTAATGTGCCAACACTGATTCATATATCTCTAAGGAAAGTATGAATTCTCTTGTTGGTTGATGCTAAACTCAATGTTTTATCATATTTACTATGATAAACTTCTCAAACAAGAACCTCTAATTTCTTCCTCTAAGCTCCTTTTTGTATCTTCAGCTGCAGCATCTCTTTTGTTGTAGTTCATGTCCTTCACCTACAGCCACTCTAATTTTGAGTTTTGAGCGGATATGTAATTGCTAATGATGCTTTCTTTTTGTATTGGTAGTTCTATCCAGCCGACAACATGATGCAAGGAAAGTCTAGCTTGAATGCGGGTGCTGTTCCCTATATACCTTCTTGGAAGAAATCATCTGACATGGAGAGTAAGTCTACCAAGAAAATAGTGGGCTCTGAGAAGCATGACTGTGGTGAGGCCGCGGCCTATCAGCTTCCAGACAATGCTTCTCTAGAGCAAAGCTTGGAGAAACTGCATGTTTCTGATGAAGCGTCCGTTCATTCTTACAAGATATCAACTGAGAAGCAAAGCATGACTGATGACACCAATATGGAGATATGTTTCCTCATGACCAGGTTTCCTGGATATTCTGAAAAAACCCTTGCTGAGCTCCTTGATTTCAATAATGGTGATCTGGAAGACACGATAGATTTGCTGGAAGAGTTTGAGGTAATACTGCTCCTTTATATCATCTGATCCCTTTTAATTTCTTTATCTTCTGTTCGTCTTGAAGTTTACCAGTCTCTTACAATAGCTTGCTCGTCGAATTAGTGTAGGCAGTTTAAATTGGCTGCATGTTAGTTTTGTATTCCAAATATTTATCCGATTCTTGGACATAGGTGTGACTAGTAAAAGCGTACTCCACCAGAGTATACTAGAGCAGCAGTAGTTTCACTTGCATGCTAACACAATAGTTTTTGATAACGCTCATAAATACTTTCACAACCAAAGCCATCAATCACCTATTAGTTTTTTTTGGGACTAATCTGAAGCAAGTTGAAGAAAATGGTGTTGGCCTAGAATGGATACTAAATTACTAATTAAGTTGTCTAGGAATTTTTTATTTCTTGAATGCTCTTTTTTGAATTACTTCGAACCAGTTGTGAATTAGGATACAGAGAGGCATTTTTAGCAGTTTTTCTATTTTTTAGGATTTTAAGTTATCATTTTGTCAGAGATCTGAAACTCTGATTTGCACTGGTAAGTCCAAGTGAACCAAATCAATCTCAAAACTTGATTCATGAATTGTTCCGAATTCTGGTCAAAATCACCATCGATTGGCTTTTAGTTTTGGCTTGACCGAAGAAAGTTAGTCCATCGTTAGCTGATACAGGGCATGGATATATTTTGACCATTTCCCCTTTCTGGAAAGTGATGGCCAATTCTTGGAGAAAGTGGGGTAACCCTTTTAGCCTAGATAGACAACCAATGCTAAATGAGAAAGAAAGAAAGTTTTTCCACTATTTCTAACAACAAATCTCAAGTAAAAGTTTCATCCACAGCCATTTCTCTAGTGTGAATAATCCAACTATCCACATAAATTGAGACAAATCCAACAGTTGTCACTACTTGCTTACAGTCGTACATACATGCATGGCACACAAACAGATCCATATAATATTTGCACATTCGGACAAATTTTCAAAAGAGACCCATTTGTGAACTTAATCCCAAAAAGCGACCCCATTCAAACAAATTTACAAAAACCGACCTGGTTTCTGCCTCAGCGCTGAAACCAGGTCGGTTTTTGAAGAAAAAAAATTCGAAACTTCACGGGAGTTGAACTCCCGTGAAGTTTAGCAGATCTACTAAACTTCACGGGAGTTGAACTCCCGTGAAGTTTCGGATTTTTTTTTTCAAAAACCGACCTGGTTTCAGCGCTGAGGCTGAAACCGGGTCGGTTTTTGTAAATTTGTTTGAATAGGGTCGTTTTTTGGTAATAAAAATATAAATGGGTCTCTTTTGAAAATTTATCCTTGCACATTCATATGCATACCTATATCTACATATTTCAAGTGCCTATAGGAAATACCACTACAAAAAGATGCCATCTTTTCCATATGCATCATAAATGCAGATTTTAAGCTTTGGATTGGTCTGTCTCGCTTTTTTAAAGTTTAGGATGAGGAATATATGTAGAATTTTCTTTTAGTTTTCCCCTCTTTTACCAGATGAAACACTCTTCCTGCACTGGCCATTGGAGCCAAACCTTCTGAAATGATTAACTCATATGAAGGTTTTTTTTTTTTTTGATGTAGGCTGAGCATATGGAGTCCCCAGGAACTTCAGAGGTCCGACACAGTGGGAGTCCTTCAAAGTGAGATCGGTTTCCAGTTCAAGCAACTTGCTCAGCCTGTACAGAATATGCTGTGACTTCTGCTGTTAAATGGGGTTTACATTTTGGATTTCCCCTAGCTTCTTACTTTCGGTTTGCCACATTTTTTCTGCTGCGTGCGTCTATGCTTTGCTCATCTGTGTTGGTACAAGGGCTCTTTGTGGTGTGAAGTTTAACTGTAGTTATCTGCAAGCTATATCATCCATCAATTTGGACAGTAGTCATGCTTCGTGCGAACGTTTATGCATCTAACTTCAAAAGATGAGAGGTGCATGAGGCCATGACTTTCTATTTTCTCATGCAGCATAATCTCTTTCTTCCATATTGGCTTGTGTGCCTTTAATAGTATTCTACACATTTGAACCAGTCGTTATTACTATTGTAAGGCTGTGATTGGCAATGAGAAAAAAAAAATCAAGGGTCTATCGAATTGTGTTTTTCTCTAAATTTTACTCATCTAAAGAGTGATATATGACAAGGAATTCCTGTCGATATATAGCTATACTGCTTTCTTTTCCTAAAGAGAGAGGATTCATGCTCGACAACTCTCCATCTCTCGAAACCAGATTAGCAAATCTGTACGTAGATCGTGGGTATGCTATTTTCTTCTTATTGAACTTTTCAAAATTAGATCATGCGCTTTGCAGGTAGACATTGCTCTACTCTCGAAAACAGATTAGAGCCTCTGTAGGCAGCAGATGCATTTCTTCTTATTCTTGAACTTTTTTTAAACCAGATTAGAAAGTCTGTAGATTATGCATAACAGAGATTAGGATAAATGAGATTTTATTTCAAGCTCTCAACCGGAGCAAAATAGAATATAAGACAACAATATAGACCATAAACATAACAAAGTACATTGATACATAATACTCTAGAGGTATGCATCATTATGTCGCAGAACATATTTCAATAAGCATATGGACGTGTCGGTTTTATTTCAATAAGCTTTTTTTTGTAGCGTCTACATAAATGAGACTGAGATTTTTATACAGCAGTCTACAGAGACCCTAATGAACACTTGATACAGCAGAGATAGATCTCTTCAATCAGCTTTTCGAACTATTCGCTCTCCTTGCCTCTCTCCCCTCAAAATTTCATACCATCCATTTCCACTTATTTCATGCTGTGAAGATCAGCATGATGAAGCATGATGAGCACGATGAGATGGAAAAAGTTCTAAAAACTTCAGAAGAAGGCTTGTTCATAATTACTGGTTATCATGTAGAGGCAACATACGATCAAATTGCTCTTTTTCAGACACCAGAGTGGAGCCAAATCCCTCCTGAAAAGGATTTGGTCTTTGTGATCATTAAGCCTTATGAACGAGATTAGTGGGAAAAATTAACATGACTGAAAGGACCACTACTTTTAGTATCTGTAAACTTACTGATGATATTTGATGCTTGTTTGAAGGCTATCAATTATGTTGCAGAGTAATGCTAGAGTTTTTTTTTCTTCTCTTTTCTACTTTGTACCTGTGAAGTATAGAGGTAGAAGTGGAATGATATCTGAAAATAAGCTTTAAATATGCTCGTTTATGTTGGTTTTTCAACTACATGTATTCTATTTGCTTGTATTTATTCTTTGATTTTTTATGTGAAAAGTAATGATGCCGCGATAATCAGTGTAATTACACAGGTTCGTTCTTAGAGTACAACCAGATCACGATTTCAGTTGTAACTAATGAAGGGTTGTATTGGAGTCGCTCGAACTTTAATCTCGCCTTCCCGCCCTCTCTATTTTTATTTCGATCTCCATGTAAATCAAGCTCCACAAACAACATCTTTCTCGAGAACAAGATAAGTTATCCGCGTGCCAATACCGTGTTCTCTTTGTCACGATGTCGAAACCAGCAGCGTAAATCGAAAACAGCGCGCTCATGTGGTTTCGGAGTGTCCGTATAAGTGCGAGGATAGAATGCAATATTATCGACAAAAGTTCTTTAACTCGGATTAA